TAGATAAATGTCTATCAGGGATGGTCTAGACAGTATTTGGTCCTGCCGTGCGGGCAGGGGACTGGACTCAATGACCTCTCGAGGTCCCTTCCAGTCCTAGAATCTATGAATCTATGATTGTACAGCAAATTGCAGTACTCAACTATTCTGTAGTCACATTACCATAATTAATACTAAACCACTATTATCAAAACAAGTAATAAGTGATAAAAAGTACATTTAATGATGATGTATCCTTGGGTCTTTTGTTTTATGTATTTGTTCAATTAATCACTAATTTGCAAAATTCAGTAACTCACAATGAGTTCCTTGATTCTGAGTATGAATAAGCAAGATTCTGCTGTATGTGGTTTGAGATTTTACAGACTGTTTCTAGGAACAAGCATTGCATATACGAGTTAATCAGGGCAATAAATGAATATGTTTGTGAACAGAATACCTGCAAAATCCCAGACATTTAATATCAAATCTTTCTTCACTTTGCCTTTCACAGGAACTGACCAGTCCTTTACATCTATGCCTATTGTAGGATTCTGTGTCCCCAAATCTGACCGCTTGCATTTCATTAGTTGCTGTAACAGTGTAGTTTTACCACTGCCAGTATTTCCCACAATCATGAGTTTCATTCTATTATAAGGGACAGCCTTCTTTAGCCGCTGCTGAAGAAACCTGTCATGAAAAATAGTTGATAAGAAGTGTATAATAAAGACACATACCAAAAGAAGTCTCGAACTAGCAAACCAAGATCATTCCAACCTCTTTTCAAATTATTTACATAAAAATTATTTAATATTGAATTTAATCTTTTTGACAGTATGTGTGTTCATTTTGTATTTTTTAAAAATGTTTAACACAGACTAAATATCTTATGTGTTTTGAATAACTACTGCAAAACTTTCTATGAGTGACATATTGTAACATATTAAAGATGTACTAAGCAATCATTAAATACCTTTGTTTGCATAAGAGTCATATGCTTTTCTGGAGATATCATCAACTCAAAGTGATACTATTATATTTTCATATGACTATGAACCACATTTTTCTTGAGGAACAAAGGTTCGCCAGAATCATAACTAAGTCAAAGATCACGTGGGAAATCAGTTGATACCTTTGAAGGGGCATATTGTTACCACACCATCCACTGTGTATTCCACGAAGACATGAAAAACAGACAACAACAATAGGATAACAAACCTTATAATGTCTCTGGCTTTGCATCCAACATGTTTGAAATCTAAATTAAGATGAAGCCCATCCAAAGGAAGATCCCAGACTTTGGACAACTTTCCCATTTCATCTGGAAAGGAACTCAAGCCAGGATTATAACTTACATCCAGAGATGTCAAGTTTTCAAGGAAGCCAATCTGAGGAGGAATCTGGATAGAGAAAAGTTAATAAACATTTGAGCATTTATTAAAAGTGAGCATTTATTTGTCTATATATAAGGATGAGTATCTTAAGCAAATTTTTAATAAGACCAAACACAATTCCAATTCTTTCCTTCCAGTTATTATTATTATCATCTAAAGTATACATGCCTAATATCTTGATTGGACAAGAAAGTAACTCTTAAAGAACTAATTTTATATCCTTTTTACAAAGATGACGACAAATACTGTTCTTACCTACATTAAAGACAGAAAGAGCTTTAGGAAAGATAGTCATATTCTTTTCAAAGGCAATACACAGTTCTAATTACATGCTATTTTACTGCTAGGGTCTTCATTCATAAAAAGTCGCGCAAGAAGGACCAAATTTAATTTAGGGTTGATCTGAAAACCAAGTGATCATTTTAAAGACCATATACACCTCTACCTTGATATAACGCTGTCCTCGAGAGCCAAAAAATCTTACCGCATTATAGGTGAAATCACGTTATATCGAACTTGCTTTGATCCACCGGAGTGTGCAGCCCTGCCCCCCCCCAGAGCACTGCTTTACCGCCTTATATCCGAATTCGTGTTATATCGGGTCACGTTATATCGGGGTAGAGGTGTACAAATATGAAAAGTGGTTTGATGTTTTTAAGTATCTAAAAATTAATACTTTACCTCCTTTAACTTGTTACGGGACAGGTGTAGCTTTTCTAGCCTAGACCATGCATATGCTTTTTCATTCAAGTCCAAAATGTCTATCTGATTGTAGTTAAACAAGAGCTCCCTTAAGTTTAAGGATTTCCAGTGCATAGGTCCAGGCAGGTTTATGATTTTATTGTTGCTTAAATCTACTGATCGCAAACTAAGAAAATAAAGGGGAAAAATTAGCAGAGAAAATAAATAAAATGGAGACTAGCTATAACTATGTTAATCTGTTATAAACAAACAAAGGGGGACGATATTAGAATAAGAATTTCTGTTGAAAATTTAGATAGGAAGTTAGAAAATTATTGATGACATAAGGCCAACCTCAACAATGTTCTTAAAGGAAGTAAGATTAGAAAGCAACAGTAATTATCTGAGACAATAGTGCAAATAGGATGTGGATATATCGGGGGGGAAAAGGAAAAGAACACCAGAGAACTATGATTGCTTCAATAAAGCGTACTGTTAATGTATTTATTTACACATGGAATTATATATTCTGGAAATGAACACTCATAATATAATGAATATACTTATTTCAGTGACTGAACCAAAAGTGGCACTTTCAAATACATGCATGTGCAGTTACATCAATATGGGATAATATAATTATTTTTATTTATACAGTATGATGAGTGTGCATGGTACCGTCCAGATTAATAAAAGACCAAATCTAAATTCTGCTTTCAGTCACACCTGTGTAAATATGGGGTAACTCAAATGAAATCAATAGTTATTCCAGTTTTTTACCCATATATCAGAGCAGAATTTGGCCAGTGGTCCCAGGTTCTAGTGACTTCACAATAATGGCATCTTTACTAAAATAAACACACTTAGAGCATTCATTTCAATATAATATCAGAAGAATGTACTTATTTTAATGCGTTTTATGAGATTCAAATAAAAAGGCACTAAGTGTTTCCCTAAACGTTCTTGCATGTATACTACATGTTGAAGAAACACATGAATCATAGAATATCAGGGTTGGAAGGGACCTCAGGAGGTCATCTAGTCCAACCCCCTGCTCAAAGCAGGACCAATCCCCAGACAGATTTTTGCCCCAGATTCCTAAATGGCCCCCTCAAGGATTGAACTCACAACCCTGGGTTTAGCAGGCCAATGCTCAAACCACTGAGCTATCCCCATTATGCGCATTTATTTCTATGTGCAATCTATTGAACAAATGCAGCTGTGTTTATTTCAATGTGAAGTATGAACTATGAAAGAAATTCTTGGACCTCTTATCTGACTTGTCTGGGCTGGGAGACACAAAGCTTGAGAGCTGCATCTCCTTCAATAAGTTTATTAAGTTTTA